AAGAGTTTACATAATTTATTGGTTAATTCACCATATAAATACGTGAATCGGATCAATTCTACTGTTTTATTCGTGAACTCGATAAATCTTTACGGTTTAGCGGACGAGGAACAGTGTTCTCCGTATATAACGCCGCATGCTAATTAAAAAAAATCCGATCAAAAGTGTTGAGAACAAAGATAGGAAATACGGTTCACAGCGTAAATACGTGAGCTATTCTTGTGTGCACTTACGACAACATTGATTTGTTTTCACAATCATGAGAATATACATTCTCTGATTTGTTTAATTTATTACATGTCTGCCTACGGCTGATGCAATAACCTTTTAGATGTTTTCGCGACCGTCTCACATGCAGTTTAAACATCGGGAATTAATCAGTGTCGTTGCGCGTCCGCACTTCAATATCTTGAGACATTTTAGGAGTTACAGTAATATCTTGAAACGTGATAGCTCAATCTCCGGACGGCAGACTTTAATCAACCAACCAATCAATGAGTTCGATCCCCGGTCCCAGTAAAATTGAATTAGTTAATTTTAAATACCGACTTATCACGTGCGTACCGGTGAAAGAAAACATCGTGAGCAAACCTGCATATTTTCGAAATAATAACAAAAAAAATATTTCGATGATATGTGAAGTCCGATAATACACAGTGGGCGTCGCGTGGTCGACTATGCCCTAATACCCTCTATGCAGAGGAGGCCTTAGCCCAGCATGGATATGTATAGACTGTTACTTTACTTCAAGACTGAAATTAATTAATGAACAAGATTCTAAATAAATATCGAAAGCTTATGATTTTCGTTACCGGACATTTATGATGCTTTATTAGTGCTTCAACTTTGGCACCTTTGCGGGCAGAACAACTCGCCAATTTACAACGTTACAACTCTATGAAGTAATCGTAGCTAATCGTAGAAAACTAGTACGCGTACGAGATAAACAAGGAACATATTTCATACATTTTTATTGCTTCTATATCATTGCTTGGCTATTTAGGGTATTACATTGACACCATATTTGTTCTTAATAATAAATATACCTTGTTATATTTTTAGACAGATTATGGAAGATAATGGATAAAATTTTCTTTAGAGATTATATCTTGAGGACCTTTTAATAGCGAGCGATTTATTGGCGAGCTTTATTTAAAACAGTCTACAAGTTTGAGCGCAGTTCAGGTTGCATTTCGAACGCGTCCAATTTTAATAGCATGATTATCATTCCGTGGCACGTACGGTAGAGTTCTCATCGAACAATTTAAAACGGCCTGTAGGAAACGTGTCTGTGGATAATTGTAATGTGCTATGAAAGTCCTGTGATATGAAGGAATTTTTCGAGGATATCTTAAAAGTGTTCGTAAATCGTAATCGTATATTTATTTAGAGGAAATGCGAATGTGCAAATTTTGTTTATTAAAAATAAACAATTTTATGTTTTGTTTTTATAGAGCTCCTGTCAAATAAAAAATAAATAAGCCAGTACAACTATGGCCAACAGACCAAAGTATATGGAAGTTTGGAAACTTCTTGACCCTTATGTTAAGAAAATTTGAAGAATCATTAAATATCATTGTTGAGAATGAAGCTACTGCAATCCTATTATAATTAACACTTACTTGGCTTGTTATATGCAGATGGTGCTGTGTTATAATAATAACAATAGAGAGCCAGAGCCAGCAGCAGAAGCAAAATAGCCAGAATACGGGTAGAGAAGGGCCTGCAGCGCACCAATCTGGTCCTCATTGTTTCCTGAAAGATAGTTGCTATGTAATATTTTTTCTCAATTACAGATAATTTCTTTTCTGATCACAGGGCTTAGTAAAAACTACTTAAATATACATTTTTAGTCATGTGTAAGAAGTTTTCAACTCATGATAGAAAGAATTTTAAAAAAAGATGGCTAAAAAATTTATAACACCTATTACTCAAAATAAAAATATTTTTGCTTAATAAGAAGTTTTTTGCATTATTATTATTACTATCAAATATTGGATATACTTATGAATATTTTATCCTTATTTAGAAAAGAAATGACAGAGAAACCTCAATAATAAACAACTCAAATTAATTAAAGTTTAACAAACTCAAATGTAATATGATGGATTTACAAACTATTACACTATAAATAATATTAAAGTACTTTTTTCATATATTTCAAATGACAAATTATATGTTATCTATGAATTTAAAATAACAAGTATTTTATTTCATCTATTTAGAGCAAAAATAAAAGCAAAAACAAATAAGAACTATATGAAAAAGTTTTTATAATTATGGTCTCTGCTTTCCCATATTTCTATTAGAATAAAAAATTTTAGTTTGAAAAAGATTGCTATATAATATTTAAACAAGAATAAACTAGAGGTAGCCCCGTTTTAAAATTACACACCTACTTAATGAAATAAAGCCTTCCTAAGATTTAAAACAAATAGGACTGTATAATAAATAGAACAGTATAAATTAATTAATTTCTTTAATAAAGTATTAATAATTTACCATAGCTGAAATAAAATCGCAGACTTAATTCAAATAATCAGAACAACGAGTTACTGCACGCGTACGCGATGCGTTGATGTTTTTACGCAATACGACTGCACAATGTTAAAACTTTTCAAATTTAAATTTTACACAAACTAACTAATTTATAACAAGTTAAATATATTAAATAACTTATTAACTACGTGACCTTAATAGTTAGTCAAGAAAATGCTAAAAGATTTGCTTCAAAAAAATCTTTAGAAACTTGTAAACATGTAAACAAATCACTTTATTACTACTTTTCAGAAAATACTTACGTTTAAAAAATCACAATTTTTCAAAAACAAGTTTTACATTTTAGGAGGATATTACTCAAATACTAACATTTAATATTAACACGCAATTTTAATAATGTTTTACAAGTTTAACATCCAATAGAAACAGGTGTGTACAGTTCAGGACAAGCAAGACAAATGTGCCATCTGACATAACATGGAACCAGTGTTGCTAACAAAACTAATTTCAAATGTTGCTTGCTGCTAAATTTTGCCAAAATAATGCTAATTGCTTTAAAATAATTCTAAAAAATACCCTAATGTTTAACAATGATAAATAAAACATTATTTAATTGAAAGTTTATTAGTCAACTATTTAATTATTTAAAAAAAAAATATTTTCAAAATTATTTTTAACATGATTTAATCGACTATGTTTTCATTAATATTTCTTCTCGGAAATTTTTACATTTATTCGTTTGCATTATAATTATTTCAATAAGAAATATTTTTCCTGGAATAGTTTTACGGCATAAATTCATTTCATTATTACATGGTTAAACTTTAATTTGTGCTTTAACTTCGTAAATTTATTAAATGGTGCAAGTCGTACTGCTATAGAACAGATAAATAAGCTGAATTACTTAAATATATGCTAAATCTAGCATAAAATGTAGTAAATTGGCGACACTGGAGATAACAGAACATATAACGTAGATCTTGGCGAAAGCCGAAAAGTATACGAGTATGGTAATCATCCAAGCTACATATTTCTTTTTTTTATCACATAATGTTTTTTTGGTAATTTTAGAGAATTACATTTATAAATTAATTCATAATAATTACTGCTCGCATGAAGTATTAAATAACGTAATTAATTATAACGATTTGATTATGCGTAAAGATATAAAGAGAAAACTAGAGCGAAAATAAATATATTTGTAATTATTATATTACTTAATCTAGAAGTCAAAATTAATGTTTCATAATAAATCTGTATTCATTTTGAAGTATACCATTTTTTTTGTTTCCACATAGTTTAATATTTAATTAAATCGTGTGATTTAAATTGAACAACAAATATGTTTGAGTTCCAAATTTTTAAATTGCTTGGTCAAATCTGACGTGTTTTAATATTTATATTACTTTAGATTTATGTTTAATATTAATTGAAACTTTAAAAAGACTTTTTCCAAAGTTTTAAATATTATTAATTTCTTGTTTATTGTTGAGTATATAATACTTTTTATTTACAACAACTGATGCTTGAAGTAACCGATATTTTACATACACTATTTAGGTAAAATTATCCGCATTACAAATGTACGATTAAATATTAAATTTGCAAACTTAATAAAGATATATATATATATATCTTACAACTTTAGCTCATTTCCTAAAAACAATAGTTTATATGTTATAAACTATTGTTTTTAGGAAATGAGCTAAAGTTGTATAATAATAGAATATATTTTGTGGAAATTTAAAAATGGTCTATCTTTTTCATTTCAACGTCATGCCACATTTTTATTGCTTTGACTAACAGAGATAGATATAATTATGTTTGACAAAGAATTTCTTAAATTATCTGATGTTGGTTTCACCAGAGTCCAGCTCCAAAGTTTCTTACCTATCCCTTCAGTGTATATTTCTTAAGACATATATTATCTTATCTATGCCTATACCGATATCCGTATTTCAGTATATATGTCTTATCTATGCCTATACCTATATCCGTATTTCAGTATATATATGTCTTATCTATGGCTATATCCTAATTGACGCATGAACCATGAAAATAGTATGACGCTCATTATTTTTGCTCGTTCATATCTTTTAATTTTGATTGATTTCTTAATTAATTCTTAAATGACTAAAAATTATTAAAAACAAAAATTATTTATTACAATAAATATTACACAATCCTTGCGTATAAATTATAGCATAAATTAATAAAAGCCAGTTTACGTGTGTTAGTGGTCATTTTTAACGCATGGAAAAGGCGTTTTAAAAAACCAAAATTAATGAAATACTAGATAATATACAATCCTTATTTATAATAACAAACGTTAAAGAAATCTTTGCCTTTTTTCACTACAGTAAATATTGTACCTAGATATATTTATTTATCATTCCACTCCACAACGATCATCCAATCAGAATCAGTCGGCAGCGAATATAGCGAGTGGTCAGTCTGTGCGGTGCGATTATTTTCTAATTAAGAAATATTCGTAAGTCATCATGCAATACAATGAACTTGGTGATACTGGCCTCAAAGTTTCTCATGTTGGCTTGGGAGGAGCAGCATTTAGTAATATTTACGGGTAAGTAAAAGGTCATGATTAAAATATGTATTAATTGAACATTAATTCTTTATCAATGTACTTAGTTTTTGATATTGAATATATTTACTGATTTCTATGCTTTGCCTGTATACTCCGCTTTTAACAATATAATTACATTCATTTCTATGGGTCCACTTTTTAAACCTTAGATACATTTGCAATTTAAGTACATAAGTAATAACCATATTTGTATGAAGTTATCATTCAGTATAATTATACTTGTTAAAATTTGCAAGGCCTGGTGGTTTTAATGTAATAAAATGAAATACATATATATATATATATATATATATATATATATTGTGTGTATTAGTGATTTTTCATATAATCCAAAAATATTGTTGAATTTATATTATATAGAAGACATACTATTTACATAGATATTTTAATTCAATTAATTTTGTATCTTACATAAAAATATGTTGTCAGTACTTTTTGAGTAAAGTATTTTCAACCTTGTTTAGCTTCGCCACATTTCCCAATTAGAATTCAATTTCCATATGAATTCATAAGAATCAAATAATAACTGGGACATTTGTTTTAGAGCCTACAATGAAAACAGAAGCATTGATCTTATTAAAGAATCTTTGAAGCAGGGCATAAATTATTTAGAAACTGGTCCATGGTATGGCCAAGGCTGTTCAGAAAGGACATTAGGCAAGGTAATTTAACATTTTCTAATTTTATCCAGAAATTATGGACTTGACTGAACTGACCTAAAATAAGCTCAAATGTTAATGTACAACAGCTCAAATTATGTCTCTTTTTGAAGAACCTGAAGATTTTTTGGTATAATAATATATATGCTTGGTATATAATGTATGCTTATATTTAAATTATATTTTTTTATTGTTTTACTGATTTATAGTATTTATATATTTTACTGACCTTAAAAATGGGCTAAGAAAAATCAATAAAAAATGATTTTCCTGTATTAATACAATATATAATACATTATGGCAGTTTCAAATTATTTAGTCACTTGAACATTCATCAAAATTCTACATACAATTACATCATGAAATTTTGAAGAATTCTGTCTCTTTTTACATGAAAAGTGCAGATATTAAGTCTCCAAAATACATTATCATATATTCCAACATTCCACAGTAGTGTGCATGTTATTCATATTACAAATACTAATGTAATATACATACTAATTCATGTGAAATATGAAAACGATAAGCACATAATTCCAAAAAAGTTACATAGGTTTAATTTTTATTTAAAAAAAATGTAGGATCTTAAGTACAATCTTTCAATTTTTTTAAATTTGTATTTTAATGCGATGAGCTAGGTTGCGTTTCTAGCTGGCAGTATTTACTGGGTTTTGATTGCATCACATTTTTATAAGTACTGTATTTTATATTTTATACTGCCTTGCGAGTGAGTATATCACTTAATTTTATTAGAATTTATGTTAGAAAATCTTTGAATTTTTTGTTCTTTCTATTAATAAGTTATTTTAACAGAATATACACCATGTACAGCGTGTCTTTACAATACACATAGAGGATAACTTATTAAAATTGTGTAAAACATTTTCATTCTTTAAACATAAATATTTACCGAGTTATTAAATTTTCCAAAACAAAGAATTTTAGAACACCCTTACGTATAAAACTGTAACGTAAAGTTCATTTGTAAAGGTCACAAAGCATATGAATGGGTTGAATGAATTTAAAAGAGACAAAACATACTGTTAGAGGGAGAGGCTTGTAATGCGACGCTGTGGCAACGAATGAAAAGGTGTCTGAATGTATGAATCAGTCAGTTGTAACTACAACATTTGTTTATTTAGTTACTTTTGGTTTGACAACACAACAATCTATAAATTTAAATTATTAATTAAAAAAATATGAAAATATGTTTAAAAAAAACTTCATTTCACTCTGTAACATCCTATACAACTGTATAGGTGTTACAAACTTTGTTTCTTTTTTACTTAATTAGTTTGTTTGAAAAATATTCTTTTTAATAATGCTTTTTTTAACGTTAATATTTTTTTTATGATTATTAGCAAGTAGCATTAGGCATGTGTTCATTTATTGTCGCGGTGGTAACGACATGGTGTATATTTTCAGTCAGCTCAAAGTCAAATAGCCATTAAACATGAGTTACATTTGTAGGCATTGCAAGGCATTCCACGGGAATCTTTTATTATTGCGAGCAAAGTTGGACGCTACGAAAAATCCACTGAGAAAATGTTTGACTTCACAGCGGAGAAGACCGCGGCGGGCGTTGATAACACCCTGAGTTTACTTGGATTGGATTACGTCGACCTCATACAGGTAAAAGTACCATATTAATATATTTATGTCATTATTACTTGTATTTATTTATTTATGTTTATTTTTTGTTTTCATTTTGAAACAAACAATTTAGGGAAGTAGAAGGTGGATGAATAAGAATCGAAATATTCTCTGGTTTCTGACAGTCTGCCTAATGACGTGTAATTCTGCCATAGATTTCCAACAGGTTCAATATCATAAATTATTATTGGCTCCCATTTGTAAAGAGCACTAAGATTTGTATAAAAACAAAGTTAGCAGACATTTTAAGTAAAACAGTTTGGCTTGCTTAAGTTCAATAAAAAAGGTGAGGCTGGGGAATCGGCCACTTTTGTCTCCCTCAATGTCTCTGCAACATTTGATTTACACTAAATTTCCATGTCTTCTAGTTTAATTGTGAGGCCCGAGGACTTTCTGAGTACTGGTTACTTACTAGTAATTGACTTACGAAGGAACTCCTTGGGTGTATGTCCTTTTCAATTTCTTCCCAATGCATGTCTACTTACACATTCGGTATTTCCTGATGCTGACGACAGTTCTTAGCATCCAAGTGTTGAGTAAGTTATAATTCTTTCGCCCGGTAACTGAGGTAGTCAGGGCCCACTTTATTAAAAGGTGGCAACGCATCTACAACCCTACGGGTATTGCAAATGTCAATGGGCGGCGGTAATCACATAACATCAGATGAACTGCCAACTCGCTTATCTATACCTCTTCATCTACACGATCTTTATGCATACAAGGCTACGTTTAGGCATAAAATAGCAGTTCAAATAATTATAGAATAGAATAATAAACGTCATAACAAGTCAATATAATTCGTTTACAGGTGCATGACGTGACCTTTGCTCCCGATATATCCATTATCTTGAAAGAAACTCTACCGACACTGGAAAAAGCGGTCAGAGATGGCAAGGCCCGTTACATCGGCATCGCTGATTACGACATCGACTTGATGCAAGAGATCATCGAGGAATCCGAAGTCAAGATATCCACAATCCTGTCATATGCCAAATCCACGCTTTTCGATAATCGGCTACAAAATTACACCAACGCGTTCAAGGTGATAACTTAGTGGTGTTGGTTATGTCACAATGAGAACCATTTGACGTTGAAATTGTCCTTTCAGAGTAAAGGTATCGGAGTTATCAACGCAGCTGCCACGGGCATGGGATTGCTGTCCAACAAAGGTCCTCAGCCTTGGCACCCTGCTAGTGATGACATCAAAGCAATATGTAGACGTGCTTCTGATTACTGCAAGGTAAATTATACATCTTTAAAATTAATCACAGTTTGTTTTTAATGCAACATTTCTTGCTCTTATAGCAATATAGAATAGAACAAAGACAGACCTTTCAATACGTCAGTTGTCACTTAGCCTTACCCTTTAGATTGAAATTGAATGAGAAGGACATCTTTAAATTGTTTTGACCTTGTACTGGTTGTTACAAAGTTAATTGTAAATTACTTGTATGAACTTTTGTCGCATATTAAAGATCGGAGTTTTTATATGTTATAGCCTTCTAAACTAATTGAAATAATCCAGACACGAAGTACAGTATTTATTTTAATCTAAACATTATTTGATTTTCAGCAACAGGACGTGGAGCTAGCCCGTCTGGCTTCCTGGTTTACTTTAAATCAGCCCGGCATCGATGTTAATGTCTGCGGGTTTTTCAACGTGGAGCAAATGACCGACACTCTCGAGATTTTGAAAACTGGGCTGAACGAACACGAAAAGGCAGTGCTCGCCGATGTCCAGACGAGGTACTTTACTGTTAACATGTAGCTTACGGCTCCGCAATAGGTCTTTTTAAGGCTCAATTTATTCTTATGCCAGATTTGTGTTTAATGGGTAATAGTTGCATTTTTATTGTTTAAATTCTATGTAACTTTGCTGTTTTATTTATTAATATATTAAGAAAGAGGTTTATTTGGAAAAAGATTCATTAGGGAGTAGGCCCGATAAAAGGTTCTAAAAAGCTATAAAGAAAATAAAAATTTAGCAACATTAAAGAAACGATTAGCGTCGCCACATAGCAATGGTTAAACAGAAGTGAACTTTTTGATAATGTATTAAATAATAAATCTTTATTTCAGATTCTTCAATAAAGTAACACTCCATTGGGACGATGTTGAATTGCCAGCCTATAAAGCTGAACTTAACAAAGTTTTGAACCAGTAGTTTTAATGTGTACTTAATAAATAAATATCTTTGTAATTAGAATCTTATCATCATTCTACTTCAAATCCTGAAGCACTCTATTTTTGATGTTCTCTATATAATTATGTAAGTTGAATTAAATTGGAATTGAATGTGAATTTCTGAATTTTACTTAAAACTTCATTTATTTAAACCAAATACTCAAAGTATTTGAGTTTATTTATAGATGTAACTCTAGATTTATCTGCATTTTGTATCTTACAAAGAATGCTTGTGTAAAAATGAATGAAATGAATCTTAAAAACATTGAAAATTGTATTCACCTCCCTTTTTCTATGACTGTAGTTATATCAACAAGCTCATTAAATATGTTACTAGTATTTAATTCATTTTCATTTGTTCATCCAAAGCTGGAAGATCAACCATCTTGTTCGCTTATTCTTCATCATTAAGGATTTAATAGTGCTTATATCCATGCTCATGTTCTGTCACAGAAATTATTTGTCTACGAATAGCTATTGAACTGACTAGAGGTCAGTGATATACATGATGTTTGATTTAGGAGCTCATGCTAGTTGGGGCAAATATCCCTTTATGGCCAACCGCTCCCCTGGGAGATAAAGGTCAAATACTTAGGAGTCACTTTCGACTCGCGTATGTCATTTAATACGCACATTAATAACGTTCGCAATAGAGCTGCGTTCTTCTCCGGCCGGCTACACAATTTAACTAACGCTAAAAGTAAAATGCCCTTAAGTCACAAATTATTATTATATAAAACCTGCGTACGATCTATTATGTCCTAAGCATGCATGACCTTCGCCCACACGCACCCTACTCGCTTGTACAAGTTGCAAAAAGTACAAAATAAGTTCATACGCCGCGCAACCGGTGCGCAGTGGTATCAACGCAACGTCGACCTGTACAGCGATTGCAGACTCCCGACGATTCGCGAATATTTTAAAGACCTGACCAAACGGTTCTTCGATAGAGCCGAACATCAACCCAACCCTCTGGTGGTAAGCGCAGCAAATTACCAACCCGACACAAACGCGAACGTCAACAAGCGTCGCCCGCGAAACGTCCTCATCGACCCGAGCGACGAAGAGGACTTAGAAACGATGGACCCACCGCTGGGGGTCCCTCCGGATAACACTACACCCACAGTTAGTGCAACAACAAACACACTAGTTTGCCCTCGCCTCTGAGCACGGCGAGACCAACACAACGCGTACACAAGGTACACCCGCGTTCCGGGGCGGTTCTCACCGCTCCCAGCCACCGATTAGCTAAATACACAGTTGACGGCCATCGGGGTTTCGGTCCGAACCGCGACCTCGATGGCCCTTAGATGAGACACCATAGTTAAACGGACGCATGAGCACAACATGCATGGCCCTACCCACAGCGGAGGGCCCAAACCCGTGGGTTCTGGCTAGCCCACCGGTTCTGCGTCAGATGAAGCTTTAATAGTCTCGGGACTGAAAGTAAAAACGTCAGTTAATACAAGATACAAGAAGGAGCTCATGCTTCGAGGGCAAATCGATTATGATAAATTTAATTTAATTGTTTACTTCCGCCCTACCTGTAATCAATGCTGCCCTACCTCAAATTCAACTCTAGCTACAGCCCTGCGTTGTGGCTCTATATTATTGAGCAGATTTAGGTACTTGTCATTTAATGAACGTAGATAAAGATATTGTCCCTGTGAGTCTCTATTGAGAGAGCTGTGTATAGAAATGTCTTGCGTTTACTGACCTTGTATGTTTTGAAAAGTTATTGAACAAGTTTTACGTTAACTTCATAAACGGAACTCTGTCGTCACATTAATCTCCTAGAAGCTTGTTCCATCAGTATAAGATTTCGTTCATTATTACAATCATCCGATACATTTCTCCGTCGGCGCAATTTTCTTAAAAAGGGGTATAAAGTTTTTGCTTCACGTATTAAAATATAGATTTATGTAGAAGAATTCAAAAAGTTACATTTGATGGGGTAAGTTTTTCTGGGTCGATTGATGGTAGCAATGGGCGATCTGCAGGGTTCGATTCTCAGGCAATTTCTTTTGTCGGAAATCATACATTGGTTTCATACTAACAATTTACTATTAAACGGGAATAAAACTAAATGTATAAAATTTTCAACATCCCATGTGAAACACTTGGTTGGTACATTGGTACCTACTTGTAAATGGGGAGGAGTTAGGCTAGTGGATATGACTGCTTTTCTTGGAATAACTCTTGATGCGAATTCAATGGCGCTCCCATAAAGTTATAAATGTATTAAACAATACTCAATAATTCTTTACATAAACTGTAATGTCAGGTCAGATTTGGAGATTAAGTTTTGAAGCAGTTTTTTTTTTACATATGGCGTGCATAATATTCTTTATCATGACAAATAAATTTAACGAAAGATTCTTGAACTTTATACACATTTATTTCAGTTACACATAGATTTACTATGTCATAAGTATGACGAAGCGTTGAAGTAACAAATACTAGAGTAATACCACAATTTCTGGACAAATTGAAAATTATTCTGAGAACGCTATTGTATAAACGGATGTGAATAATCCTATTAGTTATTAGTCCTTAATTATAACAACTGCGTTTACGTTTATTATTATGTATTACATAGCTTTTTTACAAGTCCATTATAAAACTGATGAAACACATATATATATATATACATAAAGCATTTCAAGTCATCATTATTGCAGTCATTATTTATACAACAAATAAAAAATACACTCTATACGAGAACAAAAACCGTGAATACTAACTTAGAAATGATCACAGCCTTTCTTTGGAAAGCTATTGCAAAAGTATATAATTAATTTATTTCAAAAATAATATCAAATGTAGCTATTTGTAGAAAAGTTATTAACGCAACTAGAGTCTAAAGAAGAATTCAGTCTCATGAAAAAGGCTGAAATTATTTCTTTTGGACTTTTAGTTCTAGACGTTTAAGTTTTACTTTTTCGTTATGGTAAGAGAGCTAGCAACGTCGGGAAAAATAAAAAAAAATTTCAGGTAGGCCAGTTTTTAGACATTCTATATCTCTCACTCTCTCGGACGTCATACGGGCATCTGGTTGGCGGTAGAGGTTGCGTTCAATGTTCATCATCAGTGCGCATCGCACCTGTACGGGTAATATTCAAATAATTTTAAAGATTATTTTTTATTATTTAATTTAACTTTTTGCAACATGAATCTATTATTGATGTTTAAACTGTGCCAGAGATTAATCTGAATCTTATATATAAAAATGGATTGCTGTTCGTTAGTCTCGCTAGAACTCGAGAACGGCTGGACCGATTTGGCTAATTTTGATTTTGAAATATTTGTGGCAGTCCAGGGGAGGTTTAAGCGATGAGAAATTATGGAAAAATTGCATGGGAATTCGAAATAGCAACAATTTTATCTTCCCATACAAACTGTGCCTGTCAACCTGTCAACTATGTCTGTGTAACCTGTTAAACACTATAAACGTGCGTTCTGATTCCTCTAGAAATAATTTATATGGCAAAGCAACGGTTGCCGAGTCTGCTAGTTTTGAATAATTTTTTTACAAAATATTTTAGTACGGCTGAAATGTTAATTTGATATTATTTAAGTATTTAAAAAGTCAAAATTAATATTGCCAAACAAAAATTCAATTGTTGAACTTTCAGCCAGACCGATCTAAAAGTGAAAAATGATTGGGCATATTGGAGTACTATTCCAATAATGCTCGATGCGCGCTGATGAACGCAACCTCTAAAGCCAGATAGAGATAGACCGTATGACATCCGGGAAAGTGTGAGAGATAGCATACCTAAAAACTGGCCTACCTGAAATTCTCTCTCAAAAACGTTGCTAGCTCTTATACTATTAGATTTAATTGATTTTACTAAGAGCAAATAGTACAATACAGATGGTAATCCATCTGGGTATTAACAGATATTTAATAGTAATACATCACTAAATTGAACATTCTTCGATATTATTGTTATATGTATAAACTAAACATACTTAATATATAACATGTAACATACAAAAGTAACAAAAATATCATTAAGAACAATGAACATTAATTATTATGACATCAAATTGTATAATAATAACAAAGAAGCAATTACTAGCGGGAAATGTGTACAAAAGCAGTTAAAACTTAGAATTTCGCTACCAAATCTAAACAAATTATCCAATTAACATAAATGTTTAACTATAAACAAGAAATTGTCGTAAGTAATCAAACCCTATTACATATAAAAAAATTACAAGTGTAATATCTGACATAATGATTAAATAGAATTTGAAGAAAGACTAAAAGAAGGTGTAATATAAGAAATATAAAGAGTAAAACAATAAACACTTAACCTAACGACGGTAGCTAAGAACAAAGAATACAGAAAGGATAGAGAAGGTTCTTACCAATAGTTCATCATTCAACGATCCTTAGCCACATTCAGTGGTAATTGCATGCCAAGAAATTTCCCATTTTGGGGTAAAGTAAAGAATATTGAAGTATAATTAAAATATATTGTAATACAAAGTCATAATTGTCCATTCCTAAAAAGGTTGGAATTTTTTTCTACGTATCTGATAATCTCAAGATATAAAAGTTCTAATAAAACATGGTTTAGATAAAAAAAAACATTCAATATCCTTTTTTCCATGTAAGGTTTTTGAAAAATTTCTTTTAGAATTTTAAATTAATGACAAAGATTTACCCATTATTTTAATATTACAACTGATAGAAGCCCTTACTAATCAAAGGTAGGAAAAATAAAAACTTATGTTGGCAGCACCATTAACATAGACTCGTATAGGTTAATATGAAAATTACAAATAGAAAATTTAATTCAAAAATTAAATTGAGTGATCTTGTTCCGATTCCGATTTTTGAGTTTGAGTTTAGCTGCATTATTACAGACACGAAAGACACTCTTATGCATACAATAGTTTAATTGAATACATGTCAAGTCATCGGATCGCATGTCAAATCTGTATTCTACTTCTTTCTGTATTCTGAGGCTGTAAATTTATTTTTATTATTTATGTAAACTAAAATTACAAATATTATGCATATTAACCATTTAACACATCTTCAGTTTACGTTATAAGAGATATCCTAGAGACTAGTAAAATAACAATAGTAATTTTTATAGTCCAAAAAATAACCTAATTAACTAGAAGTTCACGACTACACAACAATTGCGAAAATTTTATTTGTACCTATCTAGGATCACATAATGTTTCAATCAGACAATTGATTTACCAACTAGACTACCGCTAATTTGTGGTTTTTTTATCTCCGTTTTTTTTTGCTTTATCCTTATTACGTCCCCTAGTATATGCCTTAATACGATCTTGCACACATGTCATGTAACTTACGAATATACTATAGTCAATGATATAATATATTATAGATAGTAGTAGATACGCTTACATAAACACCGACCAACAGTGTTTAGTTATATTGTTATTTAATTTATGGTTATTGAAGCAATAAGAAAAATAAAATGACGGCATGTTTGTTTACATTTACGCTAATGTGATCAACATTAGCGTAAATGTAAACAAATCTCATTTAGGCAAAACCAATCACGATTGATAGTGTTTTCATTAGGGAACTACTGAATACTATAAAAGGTTAAAGGACCATTTATGTTATTCATGTGGGCGAGAAATAAAATATTATGCAAAAAAGGGAGTTAACCTACACTAAAAAAGCAACTACATTTTAGAAGAAATTCAATGTAATTCTTTTTATCCCTTAAAGCTTTTTCATTTCATTTTTATTTGTGGAATGGAGACGAATTATTGTATATTTGTCAATTATTATTTTTTAATTAGATGATTATAAGCGAGTGCCTGTAGCATTGAACGTTCAAAACTGAGCCAAATATATTGTTAAAAAAATTAAAAATGCAATATTTTAATATCTCCGATCAAATTCATTTATTTGATTACCTTACGATTGCAATCCACTCTTTACGTTGAACCTCATTAGTTAAAAAAAAGTTAATAAATAATTAGCTTAGCACTCCCAATGTTTATGAAATAAATTTCCGTATTATGAACAGGTAACGTTTTAAATGAGTACCTTTTCAATTATTTTATACCAAATACTAAAGATACATAAAACAAGTACATATTACTAATTAATAGACAGAAAAAAAGGAAAACCAAACTATGGATTAACGACGATTTTACTACCTACGACATTCATATCTGGACTTCTTAAATCTATGTCCGGAGGTACATTTGTCTTTTTCGTCCCCGTATTAAATAACTGCTGTCTCTTTATTTATTCTCAAACTAACACAAATTAAAAATTAGGAAATGAATTGAAATATACTCACTAAATAATCATACATTATATGAGATCCCTTGAATTTTGTTAACTTTAGTGTCATCTTTTAAAGACACACGACTGCATTTTTATTATTGTAAAGTTTTTAATACCACGTTTTAGTCGTCGCCCTGCTTACGTAAACTAAACACAACACGAACGTTTTCGTCACTTCACTCACTTCGGATGCGTTAACAACATATCTGTAGTATAAAATATCATTGAATTTAGTACAATAGGCATATCTCCACTAACGAAAATGCAGATGGCGCTCTGATCTAGGGCAAACTTTGACTAAATCAAAATTACATACGTTTATAAAACACTGTTACTTTCGTTGATTACCGCGTTATTAAGGAAAACGCCTCGTTCTGTTAATATAGGAACCGGACAAACACGCCTTTTATCTTGTTCTAATTCTTGTTATTAAAAGCAGAAATAGAATAATTTTTTTTATGCGAAAAGTTGCCAAACGAGCAGACGGTTCACTTGACGGTAAGTGAATACCGCCGCCCATGGACATCTGCTACACCCGAGGGTTACAGAGGCGTTGACAACCTTTTGAAAATTGGGCTCCGGCTACCTCACTCACCAGACGAAACGCGAAAGTATTTGTTATACTTCAACTTTACGCTGGTCTTCTGTGAGGTCGTGGTACTACGTGGACGGGTCTGCCCATTCGTGCAACAGTCGAGGCTGCTGCGTGGCCCTACCACCGTAAAAAATTATTCTATTTCTGATTTTAATAACAAGAATTTATTATTTCCACATGATTATTAATTATTTTCGATTAATATTATTTGATTTCGAGGATAGGCTACTTTGTACTTTGTAACAATTCGCTATTTAGAATTCATTTATATAACACTTTCTGAACCTAAGTCACACTATTTGTAGTTAGTATATATAATATAGAGCAAAATAGGACATTTATCGGTTTAATAACTACCACAATGTTCTTTTACCAGGTATTAAAGTACCGATATACAAAATGAAAAACAAAAGTGCGTCCGTACGTGTTAGAAGTGATTAATTTTTTTATGAAATCTGTAAAAGTAATAAATTAGTAATAAACTAAAGATTCCAGATAATTAAAATAGATTACGATATAATATTTATTAGTATCTCATGACTTTCAGACCTACTAAGAAATACCGCGCTACTAAAATAACAGGACTCCAAATCATGCACCTCAAACTCCAAAGTGAATCGTATAAAGGCGAATCGCTTGTACATACATGGTTCACGCACACATTTACATCATAGTACACCAACCGCCCTGTTTACGTCTTCCCCAACGGTTATCGGTTCTATGGCCGGCCCATCGCCACTTCAGCTTGCTAATCCTCTGAGCTATGTTGGTTACCTTAGTTTAACTGGTTAATTAATTATATTTTTGACATTTTAAATTCGTTACTATCGAAACACAAAACATTAATATATGTATAAGTGTTGTCAGAAAATAAATGGGTAAGCCATTTTATAGTGTTCTTTGTAATTATTTACAAGTATTACGTAATTTTGTAAGGATTCCTACAGGAAATCAAACTTGGAACATGATTGAATAAAAATCACTAGATTTAATAATATAATCTGTAGAGCTGAAGACCATTGGATTCCATGAAGCCTGATATTTAATTGGTAACTAATAATTAACCTATAATAAATAATTAACCTGGTATACAAATCATTAACATCCAAATACCGGAAGGAAGTTAGCGTAGAATATTTTTTTTTAATTAAACTATATGCCAATTATTGCTCTTGAAATGCTCCATTAGGATCCGTAATTGCTCCACGTTTATTACGGTTCATTAATTTAAAAAAAATTAATTTTGCTATTAAACATAAAATATCCAAGCTCAAAAAATTGCTCTCAACTTCCTCTATTAATTAAAAAAAATATTACAATTTTGCAATATTTATAATAATTAAAATAAAAAAAAATTTGGTTTTCAAATATAAATTGCGATAAATCCATCTGGAAAAAAATATAATTGTAGTTATAATCGTTATGTTGTGTATTATAATAAAACGGCTATATAACCTTAAAATTAAACTATAAACACAAAAGCAAACATGAAATTGTCGTGACGAGGATTCATGTAAACATAGGTTTCAAAGAATTCAACGGCCACTGATGACATCATAGTGCAACAATTTACATGCAAATTTAAAAAAATTAATGAATAGTAATAAACATGGAGCAATTACGATTCTAATGCAGCATTTCAAGAGCAATTAATTGGCCAAAAGAAATTCCAAAAATGTGGTTATTTTATGTTTTATACCAAAATTAAATTTTCGAAAGTTAATTTTTTTAAAAACAAGTGTCTTGTCCCTCAACCACTCACACAGATTATTGCCCCACTTTAGAATTTCGATATGCGTGACGGAGAGTCCTGTTATTTTTCTAGTCTGTGTCTGGTACTTATAGTGTTGACACAATTATTTTCCTTTCTAATTATTAAAAAAATAAAAACCTATTGGTACATCACTCGGTTGACGCCTAGTCTTGATAGTTTTCAAAGACAGTTTGATAAGCTTTGATTTGAAATTGTTACTCTAGAATTAAGAAATGGTCACACCAATCTGGTAATCTTATTTTATTAGCAAACCGGCTCGTAAAAATACATTATACGAATACTTGAGAATTTTACGGAAAATGATTTCAATAAAAAAATAAAGATTAAAAAATAGCAGGTTTTCGGTTAACCATCAAATAAATAAACTTCTTTTATTAAACGATTTGTATGGATTGAAATTTTCTTATCCATTAAAGATCCTATAGCCTATTAAACTTTATGCATGTGAAAGATTTTCACTGTTGCTTCTCCCGCTTACATTTTTTTTATATCTATCGTAAGAATATTGTAAGATTAATTAATAATTCAGCCGCAAAACATTATATAACAAATAAACAGTTAGTTGATTACAGACGCCACTAACCAGTTATTCTTTATAATACATCCTGCACTCAGAAAACTTAAATTTTTTCATTAATATAAAGTATAAAGTAATATAGTAATGTCAGTGCTTAAAAGCACATATCAATAGCAAACTTTTTTCATTTAGCTAATTTTAACAAAGAGGAATGTCAAAAGTAATTTAAGTTATTTTAGTTATAATTCTAATAAGTTTTCTTGTCTCTTTGGTAACCTCACTCAGGAAGGTACACTGCAAATGAAGGAATTTAATGTTCAATAAGAATTTAACAATAATAAAAATAACGCCTGGTTTCTGAAATTTCATCATAGAAGTCAAATAATCAGCTGTTGAATGGATTTTCAAATGTTATTTAAGTTGTCAAAAGGATTGTTAAACTCTTTGAAATGATAATTCTGATCAATTCAGATTCACTATTCATTGCAATTCAATGATCAATGTTTCAAAAAACGAGCGTAAGTCTCTGAGTGCAGCTGCAAGTATTATCTGTACTGTTTCGAGAAATATTTTGACGTGAGGTAATTTTTTCGCCGTTTTCAATATTGTACAACACATTTTGAAAGTTATTGGAGACCAAGAGTGGCGTCATAGCTTTTACGGTTCCGTGTTATGTAAGGCTTAGTGCCGTTATTAGTTTCCATGTTCGCCATTCCGAGTCTGGAAGTCTCTTTAAGGAGATTGACGAAGTTACGGTATTTTGGTGCGTTGCTTAATTGTTTAAGGTCAATTCTGACAGTGGGCTTTTTGTACTTGGCCGTCTTCGTATGCCAGACTAGTATCTTTGTGCAGTTGTCGGCGAGGGGCTCTATATCCTCCATATTCAACCCTAGGCTAATCAGAAATTTGTCCTCTTCATGGCCTGCTATGTAGGGCATGGTCGCTGTCGGCTTGAGAAACTCCAAGTTGACCGCAAAACCTGCCATATCGACGGGAAATGTCCTGGAACCTGGCCAGGAGTCGAAGAAGCCAGTCACCTGTAAGGAGAAAAAAAATGGGTTTAGTATTGAAACTGTTATCATTTAAATTACATATTCACTAATCTCGAAAATTTTGAAGATTTTTTTTGACCTTTTTTCCATGCTTGGAACACAGGAATGGTTATATTTTGCCCGTATAGTATAAGTTTGTTTACTTAAATTAAACCAAAAGTTTTAATTAATTTTCTATTTTTTTTTCATAATTATTTAATAATATTCAATATTTCTGATTTTTCTTTGTTTCGTTTTAATATTTACTTGAATATTTTTATAAAATTTTTTCATTTTGAAAAAGTAACAATACAAAGAATAACAAATAATTCTTTACTCAATAAATGTGATAATTATTGAAAAATTAAATGTTATAGTATTTCAGGAATGCCTTAAAATACCTGTATTATAAAAGGAAAAAGTCTAAAATATCACTCACTTTAGGTGCATATTAATTTATCATTAGTGTAAAAATCCAAGAAACATCTTAAAATTCAAGTATTGCTAACTATATTTACTGATTATAATTTCTACAAATTTAAAAACATACAAGAAATCTTTTCCTAGCATATCCTCCAATCAATTCAAACAGCTTCTTTTTTGCAGCTTTCTCCTTTACACAGCACACTGAAATTAGTTTTCTAAAGGTTGCATTACAGGAAAAGTTTTATTAACAAAATTGTACAACCATGCTCATATAATTTTTTTTTAATCTTATGTCTTAACTAGTAGCTATACTATAATATCTATTTCTGGACAAATTATTACACAACATTATCAAGTCCACAACTAAGCAAAACTTGTACTTTGGGTATGATAATTAATTTACATCATTTTAAATTATTGCTTTTAATAAGAAAATAGTTAAAAAAAAGTAATGTATAAACACTAAAAATTTGTGAAAAGTTGACAAAAAAGCCAATGATAAACTACCTTTCCATCCTTGACAATAGGTGATGAGACTCCATATCCACCAATGAGGCCAACAGGGAACATGGATACTTTTTTAGTATTTCTTATTTCTTCGAAAAGCTGAAGGTCAACAGTATTATCGTCATCACCGAAGTATAGAATACCTTCACCAACATTTTTTTGGAGCCAGTCCAGAGCAGCCCTTCGATTTGATACTCCACGGGGAAAGTTGGTGCTTTTATATAAAAATGGTTTTGGACTAGAAAGATGGGTGAAGGGTAGACCAGAACGCCTGAAAATGTCATGATTTAATCTAAACATCAGTTGATTAATAGATTTTAAAAAATATTTTAAATATTAAATAACATTATTATGCACTTTTCTGTGTGTTGAACTGACAGAAATATTAATTCAGGAATTGAAGGAGAAAAAACTATGATATTTATTTGTCTTGAAGATAAATTAATTAATAAAATTATTAAAAGGTGATATGTGTAACAGACAGTACATCAATCTCTTGTGTTAGAGGATGTGAGTTCAATATCCAATACTATAGAATATTTTTTTAAATTAACATTTTTATTTATTTATTTACAAAAGAAAACAATGTTTTCTTTTGTAAATAAATAAATAAAAATGGAAATAATTATTCTTTAGTTTTGAAACTTGATATTATTTCAAAAACATTTTCTGAACTATTTATTTCTAGCGACCAGCTTCACACGAGTGCAATATTTTATACATGTAATCCTTCCTCATGAATCACTCTATCTAGTAAAAAAAAACGCATCAAGATCCGTTACGCAGTTTTAAAGATCTAAGCATATAAAGGGACAGATGGACAGCGGGACAACTTTGTTTTATTGTATGTAGTGACATTTATTTTTGGTTTGTTCTAGTTAACTGCAACACTTTTCTAACTTTTAAAATAATTAGATTAATTACATACAGTTAATTTGTTTCAAATACTTTACATCATTCACGCTAATGGGATATATTCAGATTCAGAAGATTTTTATGTCTTTGTTAACCAAGGGTTAGACAGTCTGTTAGCTTTAAATTATTAAATAAGTTGATTCCTTGCAGTAAATTCAAAATAATTAAATATATATATACACATATTGTTTATAAACAACATAGTAGGGAAAAAGTTTATATATACAGCGTGTCGTTACCATCGCGACAATAAATTAACACACATATAGTGGATAACTTTTTAAGGTTGTATTAAACATTTAAATTCTTTAAACATCAATATTTACAGAGTTATTAAATTTTCCAAAACAAAGAATTTTAGAACACCCTTACCTATAAAAGCGTAACGTAAAGTTCATTTGTAAAGGACACAAAGCACATGAATGGGTTGAATGAATTTAAAAGAGACAAAACATACTGTTAGAAGGAGAGGATTGTAATGCGACGCTGCGGCGCGAGTTGTATAGGTGTCACAAATTTTGTTTCTTTTTTACTTAATTAGTTTGTTTGAAAAATATTTTTTTTAATTATGGATTTTGTTTAACTTTAATATTTTTTTATGATTATTGGCAAGTAGCTTTAGACGTGTGTTCATTTATTGTCGCGATGGTAACGACACGCTGTATATATAGTATATGACGTTTAATTTCGCCGCAAAAAAAATGTTATAATAGCTCGGTCGGTAATCGAGCGGCCACAAAACAGACGGCCGCGGTTAGTATCACGATCATTTGAACACACTTATATATATTTTACTTATTTTTCTACCAGATCATTGCTTTCCTTATTTTTTTTTTTAATTTCCAAAATACACGATTTTAAAAAAAAACCGGGCAAAGCTTGGTCCTCCGTGTACTTTACATTTAACTAAAGTATGTAGGTGCCATTTCGCTCAATAACATGATCCAATTGCTATAGAAATTCTGGGGTTGTTGATCAAAAAAAAGGGACAAGTGGTTTTGGCAGTCCTCTCGTGATGTTAACCTGACACTGCCTAAAGAATTCTGAGCGAAACAAGTGGAAATCTGAAGGTGCAAGGTCAGGAATATACGGCAGGTGCATTAACACCTCCCAGCCAAACTCTCTTACTTTTTGCTGAGTGGCCAAAGGTGGGTGATGTTATCATGATGAGAAACCACACCCCTTCTGTTAATTTTAGCCGCTTTCTCTCAACTTCTTACTTTAATCTCATCAGTTGTTTGTAGTAGAGTTCAGAATCAATGGTCCTGACCAGCGGTAACAGCTCATAATGAATAATGCGCTTCCAATCCCACCGTATACACCTTGTGGCGAGATAACCCGGGTTTCGCTAGAGTATGTGAAGCCTGACCAGCCTTTACTGATCACGAACTTTTTCGCACGTTCTAGTCGTTTCCACTTTTCATCACCAGTTATCAGGTGATGAAAAGTGGAAACGACTAGGTGTTTCATTCAACAATTTCATGGTTCAGTTTCATTAAGTTGTAATAAAGAATCACAGATGATTACACTGTTCATTAGGTTTCTTTCAGTGAGCTCAAGATGCACCCGAATATTGAGCTTTTTTGTCATTTTCAAATGCGCTTTAACTGTTTTGCGGTCAATATCCAGTTCTTCAGCTACATCATAACTACTGATATGCCAATCTTGCTCCACATTTTCAAAAATAGCATCCATTTTATCCGTAACATGGCGCCCAGAGCGAGGTGCATCTTTGAAGTCAAATTACCTTTTTGGTAGTAAATTTTTAAAATGTATCGAATTTCTTCATTAGAATTCATTCTTTATTAGAAGATGAGTGCATCTTAACAGTAAGAAAAACAAATGAAAATCACACATTTTCCTAATTTGAATTTGGAATTATCTTTTTTTAAGTTTAAACTTTTTAATAATACCAAAACCAGCCAGATACATGTGGTATAGCCAAAGAGTTTATATTATAAGTTCATACATACTATTTGCGAAAAGAGACCTTTTCCCCAACCTAATATACAAGTTCTATTTGTAAAAATATACAGTTAAATTTAATGACTAATAATCACATAAATATTAGAAAAAACTCTTTGTGAGATGATAACCCCAGAGGAGCCAGCAAATTCATACAACAGCAAATGGACTGTGTAGCAACATAATTCATTCTTTTTATGATTGTTTTAATTCCAACGTTCAGCAGACTTATGCTTACAGGTGCACTAAAATGTATAAATAAACATAGTTTCAACAGAAGTTTTCATACCTGAGAATACTTAACACAAGCTCAGAACACATAGGTTGATCATCAGCTATAATCCAATGAACATGTGGTACATGCATCAATGTATGGGCCAATCTTGTAAGCTCAGGCACCTGTTCTGGTCTTGGATATGTCGGTGTTACATAGTAGATCATTTTTAAACTGGTGTCATTTTTAATGTAAGACCGATAATCAATATGGTTTACAAAACACAGCTTGTTTTTCACAGCCAATGGTATACTTTTAGAGCCAATATTGTCAAAACTGCAAATATTAGACCATCTTATGATAAGGATTTATAAAATAATTAAATCAAATACATTTATATTGGTAAACAGTGGAAGATTTATATAGTATTAAATGTTATTTATGGAAGGTCATTTATATAGGTACATGTACGTGGGGGTTGGGAGGGAGGCAGCATAATCCCCCAAGGGAGGGGGGTGTAATTCATCGGAAATGCATCATTCTTTTAATTATTTTTGAAAACGGCAAATATGACTGGTCACCGCTGAAGTTAAGGACGGTATGGTTTAAAAAAAACTATCCTAACCTATGCAATCTTACTATGGTGGTGGGAGGGGAAGGCTCGTCCTTGGCCATGCTATATGGGGCTTTATTTACCAAAAACCTAACCTAACCTATGCAAGTCAGATTGATTTGAATCAACCTCCCAACCATAATGATGATATCAAAAAAAAATTACCAGCTTGAAAGACCATATTTACCTCTGTTTTATTTTTTTTCATTGGTCTCTTTATTTATAGTTAAAGATTTAACGAAAATAGCAAAAAAAAAACATTGTTCCATCTGTAATAACATGCGGTAAAAGGAGATATAACCAATGTCTCTTCCTCATGCTTTAGAAAGTAATTATGAAAATCTCTTGGGCCAAAAGACGAAACAATACTGTTCTAAATGGGAATTCCTAGGAGTTATTAATCTATAAAATTAAAGAAATTAATTTCTCGAAAACTATAAGTTTCTGCAGAAAATCATACTAATATTTACTTCAAATACTTATTACCTACCTATTAAAATTATAATGAAAATCGTGGCTACCGTATACTAGCAAAGCCAAATTTCGTCTTTTTCTATATAATACGAATCAATGATTTTACAATTTATATCTCCGAAACTATTTATTTCCGACGGTTGAAATTTGGCAAATCGTTTTCTTATATTAGTTGGAACCTACAATAAAAATTACAATACAACCTTAATATACAGATAGAAGTAACTAGTCTTATATACTAACTAAAAGGCTTTATCATCTTCTACATGCATCTATAATACTAACATATGAAAACCTAGGTTTTAACATAATATTGGATAGTTTGATGCAGGTTTGGGTTACTATAAAACAAATTATATATAGCTATATATATATATATATAACATAAATGAAATTGGATTTAGAAATTAAATGAATAAGTTAATCTGGTCAATTTTGAAATAAATTTATAACACCTTGAACAGAATTGAGAAAATTAATAATATTCAAATACCTTAAAATTCCAATATTGCTCCAGAAAAATAAAAACCAAATTGCACTAATTAATAAAGTCATTACTATTGTTTTTTTAAATATTCTAATAGATTTCATAATAATCAAGGTAGGTACAACATATATAATTCTATTTATGTTGTGTGTTTTCAATCGAATCCGTTTTCCGTAATTTCGTATAGGGATGTGAAAATGTGATCTATTTTCATATTATTATTAAGCGATCTTTTTCTTATAATCGATTTTTAAAAACGATTTTTTCAATAATAACAATCGATTTTAAAAAAACCGATTATATCAACTTCACTTTTTAAACGTTTTTTGTAAACAGAGCCATATATTTAATTATGTAAACCAGTTTCATAACTTTAAAACAGATTTGATTCAAATAAAATGTTAAATGGCGTTGAATATTCGTGGCAAAATTATTTTAGTTTTTTTTTATTGTTCAAAGGTTAAAAATTTATACAACAGATTTCTCTTACGACTAATCAGACTTATTTCTTACTTTACTGCTATACAGGCGTTATCCAATCATACAAAATAATCGGTTATTTCTTCTGATTATTTTTTTCCCCAATCGATTAATATAGAAAAGAGAAAAATCGATTTTTAATTAATTGAATTTTTCTCTCAATCTCACATTCGAATGCCTTATTCCGTTTCATAGATTTAATTAGGGTTGCAACGATTTATGGATACAATGAAAAATCGTCGACAAATAACGACATTTATCGATAAACATATAATAGACCACTATTATGAAAAAAAAAACCTAAGCGGTATACCGAAATATCAATTCACGTCAACAAATGCCCAGATCCGAATATAAATAGATACCCCCAATTAAAAATACATGCCTTAGGTTGTTTTATTTCCTCAAGTCGAATATAAGCAAGACGTTTCTATAAAATTATTCGTTTTTAATGGTGTCCCATGATACTTAAAAGTTGTATCGTAAATAAAAGTCGTAAAATCAATATCAAGAACTGAATAAAATAATTCTCAAGAAATATGGAGAAATTTTTAAGGCCAAGAAATTTGAAACTGATTCTTCATCTCGGCACAAGAATGGAGACATTGGTATATAACTTGTGAAAATTTTTTGGCTATAAATGACTTTAAGGATGAAGAATTTGGACTGTATATAGGATGAATTTCAACTTCTATTTAACCATATTTCGTCACAAGCTTATGAATATGTATGTCTTTGCATTAGCTACAAAGATGCGATCGAAAATTTAGAGCTTGCATTCGTTAAACCAAAAATTAGAGTTTTCACAAGACACAAGCTTATCACCTACTTACTTACTTACCTACATACCGGTACTTCACGCCGGGACAGCTGCTTACACTATACAAAGCTCAAGTCCGAACGTGGGTGGAGTACTGTTGCCATATCCGGGCTGGGGCTAAAAATGCCATCTAGCTGCCTTGGACTCAATGGAGGGACGTGCATATAGGTTTATTGGTGACCGAAGCTTGGTTAAAACCAACCTTACTAACCTTGAACACAGGCGCAGAGTAGCCAGCCTCTCAGTCTTCTACAGGATGCATTTTGGAGAGTGTGTGTTGGAGTTGCATGATTTTAATTCCTCCTGCCCCTTTCCATCACCGGACAACTAGGCGTTCGGCGAGGCTCCACCCTTATGCTGTCGACGTTCCCAGAATAAGAAAAAAGCGATTTGCTACGTCATTTATCATCCGTACAGCTAAGGAATGGAACGACCTGCTGACGTTCATCTTTCCGTCCGATTACAATGTAGGCGTCTTCAAGACTAGGAGTAGGTTTTTGCTGAGCTAGCGCGCTTACCATCAAAGGCTGCATCGCCACTTACCATCAGGTGGGATGACAGTCAAGTGCTGGCCAGTTCTAAATAAAAAAAAACCTTAAAACAAGAAACCGTGGAAACGTTTCAACAGTTTATACATAAATTAAAACTACATAGTTTGGAAAACTACAGTGTCGCCTGAAAAATATAAAGAATAAAAGAGATGCCTTCGTTTCTGATATTTCATGTCACAATATCAGGCAGAGATTATTAAAAAAATTATCACTTTCGTTAGATGAAGCATATGACAAAGCAGTTTCATTGGAGCTAGCAAAGTCCACTGCTCAAGAATATCCGATCAATCCAGTAAACGCTAAACAATCTCATGTCAAAAATGATGACTTCGTCGGCTCATCAAAATAAAAGTCTAACTTTATACAGTCGAAAGAAATGTTTTTTTTTTTGTGGCGGAAATATACATATGCGTTCAAATTGCCCTGCAAGGAATGCGATTTGTCAAATATGTGATAAAAAGGGATATTGGGCCAAAGGATGTAACTCAAAAAAAGCGGTCAATGCCGCAATGGGAATAGATGACATGGACGCTGCAGCTTCTGTCATAGCTGCATCACCTGCAAGCCTCGGTAAAGAAATTGTAACTATGATAATGTAAAATAATAAATGGAGTAAATGCTCGCGTTTTAAGCGGTTCAGGAAGTTCTAGAAGCTACATTAATAGTTTTTTTTTGATCGCTGTTGTCTGTTGTTGAATGTTGAGAGAAAGTGACAATGGCTACGACTAATTATATATCGAAATAGCTGCTGCCCGCTACTACGTCTGCGTAGAATAGGCTGAAGGCGTAACATTCAGACAGAAAGACAGATATACATAAAATATATATAAATTATAGCCTATGTCTTATTGTGATGTATAAGGTATATTAGTGTAAAGTTTCATTAAAATCATTTAGAATAGTAAGTAGTATTCTGTATCTTTGATACAGAAAAACCAAAAAACTGCTTATGAACCAGTGGGTAATTCATATCAATTTTGTAGAATTCCATTTGGAGTTACTAATGATGTAAGTAGCTTTCAAAGAATCTATAGACTGGATAATACGAACGGAAAATCTACAATCTACGTTCGCCTACCTAGATGATGTAACCGTATATGGTAAGAATAAAGATGACCATAACTATAATCTAGAGAAGATTATGTCTGCTGTCAAAAAAATATATTCTTGGATATAAAATTAATAATAAAATTATTACGCCAGATTAAGAAAGAATCAAACCTCTACAAAATTGCCAATTCCAACGGATGCTGCTTCTTTAAGAAGGGCAGTAGGAATGTTTTCACTTTATTCTAAATGGAACTTTTCGTATCACGGTACATTTTTCTGCAGCGATTGCGGAGTCTTTTATAGGTTAATAAATTACTGTCCATATGATTCATTTTGTACACTCATTTTGCCTTATTCCTTTTCGACATAAGTTTTTTGATGGCTGGAGTGATCCAAGTAGCTGGGAAGTGTTTTACTTCAACTCTAAGTCTAAGAGGTGCATACTTATCGATAACATTTAAGATAATGTCATTAAAACCCGATATCATATCATCAACATTATGTGGACTCACAAGAGGTGACCATTCGATGTCATCTCGTAATAGATCCCAATTTATGGCTTTAAAATGTCTAAATAGTAAACATTTGGCTTGCGTTTGGGCTTCAGGATATTATAAGAAAGAAAGATCGTGGTATGAAAATGGAGCAGAAAGTTGACCATGGGAAAAAACACGGTCAATGTTAGAAACAATAATGAGGTCTAAAAGTGTAGGAGAGGAGTTAGAAGAATGGTGTGTAGCAGAGAGAGGAAGAATATATATATATATATATTCAGAGGAATGAAAAAAAATATTCGAATACGACGGTAAATTTCACCGAAAAAAAAAATGTTATAATAGTTCGGTCGGTATTCGGGCGGCCGCTAACAAACAGCCACGAAACAGAAGGCCGTGGTTCGTATCACGATCATTTACACACTTATGTTACTTTTTTTCGATTCCAGATCATTTCTTTCTTTATCTGTTATTTTTTGTCGATTTGTTATTTTGTTATATTTTTCCCTTTTTTTTAAAGTTCTTTCTTTTGTGAAAAACACCAGTTCATATTTTCTTATTATTACGTCGGTAAGATCGAAACATATTATGCATATTTCATTACTTAGTAATTTGTATCTAAATGTAATTTCCAAAATACACGATTTATCAAAAAAAAAAAAAAAAACAAACAGGTCCTCCAGGTACTGTAGATTAAGGGACGAAGTGAGATCAAAGAGCTTTTTACTGCGTGCGTCATTTTTAAGGAGAGAGGTGTTAAAATCCCCTAAAATAAATAATATGTGGTAAAAAGAAGAATTAGATTTTGGAGCTTACTATCCAAAGAGGAAAGTAGTCTATATTGCGGGATGGATCCAAGATTAGAAATTACCAGCGTGGTTGATGGTGCAGTTTTTATGAAAAAACATAATCGGGCTTCAAAATATTTACTTGTAGTGGAAATGGTGGAGCTATTACAATAAAATCCTGACTATTCATAAGTTCGTTTACCCTAATGGAAGGGAAGAAAATGCTACGGAAATTGAAGAATATAATAATAACATAGACCTTCCAAGGGAACATATACGAGAAGAAGATAATGAACAATGTAGAGAAGTAACGACATGCTCTATTGTCGTTAGAAGAAAAAAGTGATTGCCGGTTAGAAGTAAAAAGGGACCAGATTATTTAAAAAATTATGTTACTTTTACTAGATAGGGTGAATGGTATAATACTGGCCATTTGCCATAAATGTAATTTTTAAAATTATTATTTTGATTTTATTTTTGTAAAAGTTGCCAAGCGAGCAGACGGTCCACCTGATGTGAAGTGAATACCGCCGCCTATGAACATCTGCTACACCCGAGGGTTACAGATGCGTTGACAACTTTTTAAAAATTGGGCTCCGGCTACCTCACTCAAAGCGTAAGGCGAAAGTATTATACTTATACTTTACGCCGGTCATCTGTGCCAGCCCATTGGACAGGTGGCAAGGCCGTGCAACAGCCGAGGCTGCTGCGTGGCCCTACCACCGTAATAATGTTCTATAATACTGTCATAATCGATCTTACACACCTATGTAGTCCTTTATGTTCTACTTTTTCTGGTGTACAAATATAACATTTTACATTAAATACATGCAAAGAAAATAAAACCAAAGAATATAAGTTAGGAAAGAATTGTTATAATTTATC